ACAAAAACTAAATTCGAACGGCACACTCCGACGAGACCCAAGGGAATATATTGCAACCTTTTATCAAAAAATTCCTTCAATTTCTGTCGTGCAATTTAAGGTACAAATGTCCAAATTGAACGGAATTGGAAAGACTCACCAGGAGCGTATATTTGTTGTAGAACTTAAATTAAAACTTCGCTCGCTCTTTCACTTTGAACAAATTGCTCGAGAAAATTCAGATATTAAATGAATGAAAGTTCCATCGTTCAGTTTAACTGTAACCAAATACCTCACGTTTCAACTTTCTGGGTACTTTTTGTGAACGATTAAAATTAATTGCAGACGGTTTTTAGGCCGCTTGTCAACCAACGTAATGACACTATTGTTTATACAAATTCATTCTGAAACCAATATTTTTCTGTCAACCAAAGTGATTTGATAGAGAGAAAAAAAAGGATTCATAAGTTATTAATCGGCTTGAGGTAGTGACCGACTTGATTGCTTTAAAATACTGCCCAGCCGGAAAACGAGGTATATTTATGAAAAATGACAACGAAAGTTGGGATGTACTCGGCGACTCACGAAAGCGTTACCGTGGCCCGTGGGCAGAGATAGGAAAATACTGACCGGGTAAAGAACCAATCAGATTGCAAGATTCGTTACCGTGCCCTCTAAAAAAACAATAAAAATATATATTTATGACAAACATCTCCAGTAGGGAAAATGTTCAAAGCAAAAAATTGGGAAATCTCCCATTCTTTTTTTTTTTTTAAGGGGAAGTGGTTGTTGCTATGGTTATTGTGATCAATTCTGTGATTGGTGGATTGAGCTGAGTGGACCTAGTATGATTGGCTGCTTCAACTGTGCAATTACAGGTGTCTGATTACAGGCAACTGTCCAATTACAACTGTACAAAGTGATTAGTGAAATATAAAGCAGCTGATGCACCAATCACATGTGAGGAAATTGTAATGGTTTAGCTTCCTACTACACTTCTTAATAACAACTCTGTACTCATCAACAAAGAAATGGATTACGTTGGGAGAATAATTGTACAGATCTTGAGGGTGAAAGTTTAAAAGTTAATATGATTTCTGTTTTCTTACACAGGTTTATACATGGGGTTGTAATGATGAGGGCGCATTAGGCCGTGTTACTTCAAGTGAGAATGGTGAAGAGTTTACTGCTGGTCTAGTGAAAGATATAGAAAGTGTAAATGTTGTCATGGTGTCAGCAGGTGACAGTCATACAATGGCATTGTCCGACCAAGGAATAGTATATGGTTGGGGGACATACAGGGTAATTATCAGAAATAAATTTATTTAAATATGAATGGACTTGATACCCCATGAAGAAGAGTGATCGAATTGAATTAAACAAAACTTGTAAATTGTGATTATTCACTAAATGTCACAGTGTTACATATTCTGATGGAGGACTTGTATGAACCCTGTACTTGTAGGCAGCAAAGTTATTTGTTCATTGTTAAGCTGTTTTGTTTTTGTTGTGGGCAGTTTTAAACACGCAGGTGATCATCATCTTGAAGTTGATAAAGTAGATAAACAACTGTTTCATATTTTTAAAGTTTGTTGCTTCAAGTACAAGTCTTTCATTAACTGAAGTTTCAGGTCTGGTCACCAATTCCCAAGCTGTTACAGGAGAAAGTCAGAGGCATTGGCTGGGATGCCCTTACAGTACTAAAGTTATATTTACTTTCCAACTTGTGTGGTCTGTCTCTTTCCCTAGTTGTTCCCATATTGTGTCTTGAAAAACTAATTCCTGTTTAAAAGGCTTTCTATGAGTCACTCAAGTGGAATCAAGAAATCTTACTTGATGGTACTTGGTGCATTTTTCTCTGTCCCTCAATTCTATCTTTGTTGTTGTAAGTTATAACATCATGGTAATTGCCATAATGATTTGAATTCATGTGTAGGATGCAAGTGGACAAGTTGGTCTGCAGGCAGATGGTATCAAACACAAGCCTACAGTTATCCTATCTCTTAAGAGCAACCCCATTATCAAAGTAGCATCTGGGAATGACCATACAGTTGCATTGACAAAGGAAGGAAATATTTTCACTTGGGGCTGTGCAGAACAAGGCCAATTGGGAAGAATAATGGGATGCTTTACTAGCCGTGGGGGGCGTAGGGGTTTGCAGTACATCTTAAACCCAAAACAAGTTCGCAACAAGAAAAAACTGAAATTTAAAGACATTTTCTGTGGTAGCTACTCTACATTTGCTGTTTCTCAAGATGGTGGGGTATATGCATGGGGACTAAACAACTATGGGCAGCTAGGAACTGGAGATCTTGAAACTCTTTATGCTCCAACAAAGGTGGAAGCACTTACATCCTTAAACTCAGACAATGACAAGTGTGTCAGTATAGCCAGCGGTCAGCACCACACAATTGTTCTGGACTCAAGTGGCAAAGTGTATGCAATGGGAAGAGCAGAATATGGAAGACTTGGTTTGGGTGGAGATGCTAAGGAAACCACCTCCCCAGTTTTAGTTGCTGCATTAGAATGGAACCCTATTTGCAAGATTGCTTGTGGCGAAGCTGTCAGCTTGGCTGTCTCAAGCAAGGGAGATTTATATTCATGGGGTTTTGGAAGTTGCCTTCAGCTGGGTACAGGAGAAGACGAGGATGAATATTCGCCAGTGAAAGTGGAAGGGAAGAACTTGCAGTCTGAACATCATGAGGTGTTGGGGGTTTCTGCTGGAGGACAGCATACAGCTTTACTGGTTAAAGACAGGAAACAATGAAATGACTCTAATACTCTGTAAAAAACACGAATCTGTGTGGCAACAGCATAAATACCTTACCATTTTGAGGAATGTGGCACTGAAGTGGCACAAAAATTTAGTCACCATTATTTTCTTTGCAAAACATCTTTTTACTTTGCTTTTTCTTTTTTAGGACAAATGAAGTAACCCATTAGGCAGTAGTTACAGTCTTAGTTTTGGCTAAGGGTTAATAATGTTCATTATTGAACAAGCTTAATTTGTCATTTCTCTAATTCACCTGTATCAGCAGGGTAAACTTGGTTTGGATGAGATAATGCAATAGTTTTTAATAATACTTAAGAAAATAAATTCAAACAATCTGCCATACCTTCTTTTCATCTGTAACAAATAAATGACATCAAAAAAAGCTCTTGTATGAAACTCAATGATTTGTATTCTTAAATTAATTGTGCATCAAAAGGAGTTCAATATTGTTTTTTTACTTTTTTATTTTCTCTTTCTTTATTTCCATTTTATTTAGCTTATTTGTTACATTAAGACTGGTATTCAAAATTGTCTCACTGAGATGCAAGTTTTAGCATTCTATGACATTTGAGTAACTTTATTTATCCAGACATTGATGTAAGAATCAGTTCGAAAATACCTATTTTCTGTCTTTGACAACAAGTGGAAAAGTCATTCAAAATGGTTGGACAGCTGATGGGTTTCTGCCTTGTACCTGCTTCTAGTAACAACCCTGCTTGGAAGAGAGAGGGTTAAGGAAAAAAACATGCTTTTCAGGTCAGACCTAGCATTTTTGTGCAATATAAATCAGCTAAGAAACTTTTTTTGCAAACTAATGTTGGTATTCATTTTAAGCACTCTGGCATGAGAGTTTCTTCACCTGCTGGAAAGTATGATGCATTGATCAACATGAGTTTGTCTAGCAGTCATTATTAGTGCTAGGTCCCTAAAAAACCTCTCCCCAACTTGTCTCAAATCTTTGCATCTTGCAGTGATTCTAATTAGGGCCTATTTGGAGGCTAGCTTGTACAATGCAAATTTGACTGTACAGGATGCCCAAATTTTAGGTCCTTCCCTTAAAGCCAATGAAAACCTCATGAAATGGAACTTGTTCTAAGGGTTAGGGTTAGGGTTAGAACTTTAATGTCTTTGAATTGATCTATTTTCTTTTTTTTCATTACAATTCTGTTCTTTATATCCATGGACTCCCTCAGTATCTATGTAGTAGAAACAAGATGTGCTTGGGAGGTGAGGTGCAAAAACAATCTGCAGACATCTCTTGATCACAGGGTTCCTTTCCTGTGGGTTAAAATACATATGTAAGAAAAAAAATTTGCCTTAAGCTGGTATTTCACTATTTCAAAGACTTTGTCTCCTTTGCAGTTGTTGTTTGGTCTTGTCACAACACATGCTCTCTCTTCCCACAAAACAACTGCTGCAAAGGAGACAGAGAGAAAATTTCTCATTTTGAGGTGGTAGAAATGATTTTGATAAAACCAAGGGCTTACACCATCATTGGGCTGTATCAATTGCTCTGTGCGTGACAACATCAGTCTTGTAGTTACCATACTTGACCAAGCTAGTCCAAGGGCTGGAATAACAGTTTTATTTCCAATTCTTGAGCTGATGAAAGGAAAATTGGATGATAATGAGGGAATTTTAAGATGGTAGAATTCTCCCCTTTGCAGCAATAATTTAGTATTATCTCCATCTGTCTAAAGAAATTACAGTGGCATAAAAATAAGACTTTTAAGAAAAAAGGTCTTTTGAAGTTATTTCTATTTTTGAAATTTGGTGAAGTTGTTCAGAACAAATTTATTCAATACAGATTTGTGAGCACTATTCTTATAAAAACCATTAGTTGGCTGAACTCGGGTTGATTGGTATATTTCCATTTAATCAATGGATACAAAAAAATGCAAAGACAAGATGAAATAAAGATCATACCCATTCCCCTCAGTTTTAATTACATCAGAGACCTAAATAGAAGGAATGAAAATGATTAATTACATGAAATATGAATCACTGAATAAATATTTCATTTCCATGTAATGTCATTTCCTCTAGGATGCAACACCAAATTCTCAAGACTAGACAGCAAGAAATATGTTATCACTAGTTAGAAGAATTTCCTTCAAATCTGAGGGGTTTTTAAAAATGTTGACTAACTTGTCAGTAAGAGGCAAAAAATGTAAGAAAAAGTATGGCTGGAATACAAACCTGGTTTACACAAATCACTGGAATAGAGTGAAGATGACTGAGTTTTTGAAGCTGTGCACCAAAAGACCTTAAAACCTTTGCCCTCTTGGAAGTTTCTCCAAGTGAATACTCCACACGAAAAAGAGCTGTAATGGAGTCAATAATCACAAGCTTGATAGCTCCTCTGTTCAGCAGCAATGGCAGGCGATGTGTAATGATGTTTTGCAAGTCATCCTGTCAAATTGTGGTTCAAAACATGTACATCACAGCTTTGATTTTTTTATCTTATGTGTCTAAGCTTTACGTTCCTCTTTTCACTTATGCTGTTCTCCCAAGAATTAATGCCATATGCCAAGAAGTCTCCTGTCAATGTCAGCTTTGGAGCAATTGCACATCTTCCCCTCCCCTAGCCCAACAACAGTCAACTGATAACAAGGTCAGGTTAATGTTGGGTTAGGGGAGGGGCACGTGAGCAGCTGCTCAGACACTGACATTGATCTGAAGTCTCGCACATATCAAAAGGTGAAAAAGATCAAAGATCAAATTCTTATTACCGGAACTTACCACATCAGCTGCATGTTCAATGAAAATGTTATCGTTGAGATTCAGTTTACAACTTGATGGATGAAGTACTTGACTCTTGGTGAAGCATTGTGTAAGCTGATGCAGTCTCTTGCTGGGGAAAACATCCTCAGTTGAAATGTAAACTGCACCTATTGTGAACAGAGATGCTGTAATGGGTAAACTTGAATTGTAACAATGAAAATTTATAATACCGAATTTCCTTGAATAAGCATGTAGGTGCTTGTTTAAAATTTCATTTTAAGGCACTCATTGGAAGGATGCTTAATTGAACGGGCGCTTCTTACTTCTCCTGTGCTGATTCTGCTTAAGCTTAAGCTTAAAAAGTTACAAAGTGATTGTGGAAAGAGGTTTTCCCTGTATTTAGAAAGTGAGGGAGGAGGGAGGGGGCACTTATTCTAGCAGGGGGAGGTACTAGTTTGACATTATCTAGGGGCAAGGCACTTTTTTGGGGAAATATAGTAATAGCAAGGAACAATTCATCCTAAGCTTCTCTTAAAATTGACTGATAGAGAACTTAAGTGATGGAGTAGAAAGAATTATGAGAAAGAAAGTCATCAAGAATGAAGATGAAGGGTTGAAAAATCTTAGTCACAGTTGCTGGTAAAACAAATGTGATCATTTTTGGAAGCTAAATAATAAAAAATATTTTAGACATATTACATTGATCAAACCAAGTACTATACAGCCAACAGAACTATTAAAGGATGGACAAAAAAAAACTAACCTCCTCCAAGACCACCTTGTTCGTGAGGTAACTGAACTGACAAGCAAAGTTGAAGGCAAACTTGTGTTTTACCAGAGGAGCTAACTCCTGTAATCTCTGTGATGCCTTCATTCAGGAAGCCCCCATGCAAGAAACCATCTAATATTTGGCACCCTAGAGACAATCTGTGTCCTTGTGAATTTTTATAAAGTGACAAAGCAGTTCTCATCGGTGGACAGGGAAGTGAAAGTGAAACAGCTTTAAGAAGAACAGAGACATCAAAGGAAGAAAGTTTTGTGACTCTTTCCAGATCTGCAGCTGACATACAGAGAATTGTGGTCTTGTTTGCTAACTTTGCTGAAATTAGAGTTGTAAACAGACTACTGTAACTGGAAATGTCAAAATAAAAAAAAAAAACAAAAGCAATACTTGTCAGACTGACTGATGAACTGATAGATTGTCTGATCAATGGACTGACAAAGTGACTAACTGATCGAGTGACTAGCTGTCTGACAGGCTGATTAACTTTCTGACAGGCTGATTAGCTGACTGACAGGCTGATTAGCTGACTGATTGTCTAATAGTCTATCTGACTGACTGTCTGATTTACTAACTCACAAACTGTCTGACTAACTGACTGACCTATTAAAAAGAACCAACAAATGAGTGAATGAAAGAACAAAATCAGTATACAACTTCTGCGTAATCGCAACAAAGAATTATTTTTTTCATGGTCACTTCTAATTAAAGTAGAGACTTTTCGAGCTTTGCATCGTAAAAATAGCACTACCTTCTCTTCATACAGCCCTGGTAAAATAGGATGGTTTCCTTGATCTAGGAAAACTGCTAAAATTCACTTTTAAAAAAAATCCTAATAAAGAGCTGTTCATACAATTCAGTTTTAAGGCCTCTTGATTTTAAGATAAGGTTACGTATTATACTAAGCAAGATAGAAAACAAAATTTCCAAATCGCTCTGGTTCTTACTCTTTTTTAGCGCTGATATTATCCGAGGATGAACATCCAGTCTTTCTATATTATTCATTATGGATTCCTTTTCCCTTAAATTGAAATGGACTTTAATTTGTGGGCATGGATGAAAAGCTTACATGTTTAAAACGAGCGCCTTGCCGCCATAACCTCTCGCAGGGATTTGTGGGATTGGTGTAGTTACCAGGTCCCGGTTGTTCCCAAGCTTGGGTGCTATCCACTGGATGAAACTCTAGACGGTGGATAACGTTATACGTGTTATTAGGGACCCTAAGCAGTCAGGACGGCAACGCCAAGGAAGAACATTTTCAAATTTTCCCGTCGCCGACTGAGGCAGCCGCAAAGGGTGTAACGTAAGCCGCCAAATAAAACTCAGTCGATACAAATATTTTTTAGAGCTTTTTTTTATCAGACAATTATTTGATGAAGCTTAAATTATGAAGATCCTTAAATCAATGAAATAGCAAGTTCACCCTATCGACG